CATCTTGAAGAGTCGTACTGTTGTATTGTGGATAACATCTTGAAGAGTCGTACTGTTGTATTGTGGATAACATCTTGAAGAGTCGTGCTGTTGTATTGTGGATAACATTATGAAGAGTCGTACTGTTGTATTGTGGATAATATCTTGAAGAGTCGTACTGTTGTATTGTGGATAATATCTTGAAGAGTCATACTGTTGTATTGTGGATGATATCTTGAAGAGTCGTACTGTTGTATTGTGGATAATATCTTGAAGAGTCATACTGTTGTATTGTGGATAATATCTTGAAGAGTCATACTGTTGTATTGTGGATGATATTAAACCAGTTTTTACCGCATTGAATATACAATCCAAATCCTTTTATTGCAGTTTGTTTCCACCCGCTTCCGTCTTAATTAACAACATACACGCTTATAGTCTCGTGTTTATAAAGACAAGGAGGCTTATATTAAGTGTCGTAGAAGTAAAGAGAAATTGATAAAGAATAAGTGAAGGCGGGTCGATTTCAGCAAAGTTAATACATGTTTGAACTTTCGGCAACACACACGTATGACTCTTGACCCGTTGCAGTCTTTATAAAAGCCGTCAGTGTTGGAGTTGGAAAAGCTGGTGAAGCTCAAGTAATAACAGTTTCCGAGTTCCCTTCTAATTCTGTTTTTCTTAACTATCATCTATGTTAAAAGGGATGCTTCACGAATAACAGCAAATTTATGTTGAAAATTAAACTCCAGGAAAACGTTAAACAAGCCTAACACCGCTGTTTCACATAATCAGTCCCCCCCTCGACTCCCCAAAGTGGTTCAGCACTAAGTAAGTCTGTGGGTTTATAAACTCTAAAACCCGGAATTCGATATTCGTGGTAGGCACAACACCATAAACCTTTTTTTTTTTCCTTTTGCTTATGCACAAACTAAGTAAAGAAAAAGAGTTAACTGTATATGAAATATCAATTACATCGAAAATGTGGAAAGAATGAAAGAGTTAAAGTGGAAAGAAAAAAAAAAGGGAAAGCTGTAAAAGAAAAGAATAGAGAAATGAAATGTAAACAAATATTAAACAACCCAACAAATATGTACAACTATCCACGTTAGGTGTTCTAAATTAGAACATAATTTACTCTGAAACACAGATGCTAATTGTAGCAATTCATAAGTCAAATTAAAATATATGTCTATCTATGTATTTGATATAAAATCTTTTCTATTAAGTTTGTGCTTTTAAAGTAGAGAGTTAAACCTGGGTAAACTGTTTTTTAAAAGGTTAAAATCTTATATTTAATAAATACATAATACGATATAATCGTCTCACTGAGATATTAATGTACATTCCCTGAACAATAGTTACGTCTATGGTATTTTTGTGAAAAACTGGACAGCATGTTACTAAGTGTAAACACACTTTATATTTTAAAAACCAAGTGTACCTTACTATATTCTGTCCGAATTGGAGTAACGCATACATTGGTTGCTAACTGCGGGAGCGCCCCAGGCGCACAGGGGCGTTGGCAAGCTCGTGCTGGTGTGGAGGGAAGCTGTATTCCACGTTACAATCCATCTGGTTGCTACAGTTTTATGCTGTGTCTTGACGCCTAATCGCGCAACGAATCAGTTGCGCTGGCAGCCACACACTTGGACGTTTCAGAGCGGTGAGTGGCGGTGTACGAGCAGATCGAGACTGAAGCTCGTATAGCGTATTTGATTTTCCCAAGAAAATAATATGGACTGTACGAGGTACGGCTGAAAATAAAGTTAGATTAGGAGTTTGTAACAGTGAGATGGATGCAACAGTCGGAATTGGAATTCCCTCTCTACCAGAAGCCAAGTCTAATCCTTCGGAAAGTAGCATGAGCCCAGAGACTGTGTGCACCGGCTCGGAAAGAGAAAGTCCGAGGACCGGACACTCTTCTATTTCACCTTCAGGACACGTTCAACCGCATGTGTCCGGTGAGACTCTCGTAACTGGTCACTTGAATGGAGCTGGCTCACCTGGTCAGGAGTCAGGCATAAATCTGTCCCCGAGCCCTCCCTGTTCCAGTCTCTTACCGGACCTGGCCACTCGCCAATTCACGCCCGCTTCCCTCGCATCAACCGTGGCTGGAATGATCGGGGCAGGAATCAAACCAGGGGCCGAAATGGCCTGTCACACTCCGTCTGGGGTGCCTGTTACCGGAGTTCCCTGGTCTCTTATGACTAACAGCTACGGGTATGGCAGTAGCCGAATGGAGCGCCCGATGCACACGGGTTCTCCGCCAGGGATTCCCGCGGAGTCAGTCCACGAGTGTCGCCTGATCGATTACCGCGGTGCCAAAGTAGCCGCTTTCAGGGTGAATAACGAGTACTTGCTTTGTCTCCCACAAGCCTTTGAACTGTTTCTAAAACACCTGGTTGGAGGGCTGCACACTGTTTACACCAAACTGAAACGACTGGACATCACCCCGATCGTGTGTAACGTAGAACAGGTGAGGATCTTGCGAGGACTGGGAGCCATCCAACCCGGCGTGAACCGTTGTAAGCTACTGCCCTGTAAAGACTTCGATGCCCTGTACAAGGACTGCACCACTGCTAGGTAGGCTGTACGGAGCAGAAGTTCTATAGATATTACTTTTCTCCTCTCTTTTTATGTTAATTTGCTATTTTTGAGAGTTTTTAATGATATTTTATGCAACAGGTTAAAGCACGCTAGATGGTGTTTTGTTTCACGCGCAAAGAAATATTTCTTATTTCATTCTGTTTCAAAACTGCACACTTAAAAAACTTTACACTGTTTCTCATAATCAAATGAAAAGTTTTTCATGATAAACAAACTGTGGCTTAAAAAAGTACTATTATTCTACTGCATATTACTGCAATCACATTATATTGAAAACTTTCGGAAATGTATTACAGTCAGCAATGCAACAGGTACTGTACAATCACGTTATATTGAAAGTTTTCGGAAATGTATTACAGTCAGGAATGCTACAGGTACTGTAAAATCCGGTTATATTTAAAGCTTTCGGAAATGTATTACAGTTAGCAATGCAACAGGTACTGTACAATCACGTTATATTGAAAGTTTTCGGAAATGTATTACAGTCAGGAATGCGACAGGTACTGTAAAATCCGGTTATATTTAAAGCTTTCGGAAATGTATTACCGTCAGGAATGCGACAGGTACTGTAAAATCCGGTTATATTTAAAGCTTTCGGAAATGTATTACAGTCAGGAATGCGACAGGTACTGTAAAATCCGGTTATATTTAAAGCTTTCGGAAATGTATTACAGTTAGCAATGCAACAGGTACTGTACAATCACGGTATAAAATGTATTACAGTCAGGAATGCGACAGGTACTGTAAAATCCGGTTATATTTAATACTTTCGGAAATGTATTACAGTCAGCAATGCAACATACTCGAAACGTCTTCAACGCATTTTCATCATCTGACAAAAATTACAAAGAAAAACAAAAACTGTTATATAACAAAATGAAATTTTTTTTATTCCAGTACATGCTTAAGTTAGCTAATTAGACACAGAGAAAACAAGAGTTCGATTTATTCAAATTAATTTGTTCTTCCACCAAAAAAAAACAATTTGTGTTTTCTAAAAACATCGCTGGGTTATTACTACACTTTAAAAAAAGTATCGTGTAACCAAACCGATTACCCATTTTAAATCGTTTTTTTAAGTTATCACTATACAGTTTCCACAGAACTTAGGTTCCTGTTATTTTAACATAACGTTAGGTTGCTGAATACAAAATATATTCAACTAATATTTTAAAATTATTAATTTCAGAAACAATTAAAAATACACGCGAATTCTGTGGTGTAAGGCTTAAGCTGGAAAATAATAAATCATTTTTAGGCCAAATAAGAGTTATTTTTTGATAGAGATGTCATGAAGTTTTATCTTTATATTTTTATAATTTGTTTTTGATATATATCCTTCTTTACTGAAGCTAACCCATAACCCATCGCCACTTATTCAAGGGTTTGTAGCATTCTGTCTGATAATATCTGTGCTTGTAATATAAAACTTCTCAGTGAATTCTCAGACAGAATGTAACAATCCCTGAATAACAGCAAATAAGTCACTGAGAAGCTTTATATTACAAGCACAGTTATTCTCAGACAGAATGTAACAATCCCTGAATTAACAGCAAATAAGGTTGTTTTAAATATATTAGTGTATGTCATGTATGTCCTGTTGAAACCAAGGTAATTAGTTAGTATTCACTTGCAACTTGACGTAATACAGTGTGTACCATAAGGAGTATATTTTAAGTTGTTTTAAATATATAGTGTATGTCATGTTAAAACTAAGGTAGTTAGTTAGTATTCACAACATATAACACATGAAGTTTACAATTTATTTGTCACACCCCCCACTTTCAAGCAATACATTTAATTAAATCCAAAAGTTATGGTATATCCTTCTGTAGAAACCTGAATGGGTTGGATACAGAGAGATGAATCGGCTGTCAAACAACCAGACTAACGTGAAAATAAATATCTCAGAAATAAGAACAAATCACAAGTACAGTTATTCTCCGACAAAATATAGCAATCCATGAAGAATAACAAGTAAGTTACTAGGTATTTCTACTTCATAAGCACAGTTATTCCCAGACAGAATGTAACAATCCCTGAATAACAGCAAATAAGTCACTGAGAAGCTTTATATTACAAGCACAGTTATAAAATATACTCCTTATTGTACACTGTATTACTTCAAGTTGCCAAGTTTAGTTCCTATGAAAGCATTTAAACGTTTCTAAAACGGAAGGTGTGTACAATGCAAATTCTGGACCTCAAAATATTGTTTTTAAATTTTTGTCATTAGCTTTTCAAGTGGCATATATATATATATATATGTGTGTGTAATTATTTTTTTTTGTACCAGTTCGGTTTAACTATTAGGTTATACACATAAAGTTATATGTATTCACAGATACAAATCTATATGAAGAGATATCAGGCAGTTGTGTAATATATGTAACCCGCGTTCGAGTACTTATAGGTGCTATTGTCTTAATTTTCGAAAGTTAAAACATTAATTTAAACAAGCATTACATATACACGGTACATGGATAGGACTAACGAAATGGTGTGTTAACACGGGTCTCAGCTTCATGAGATAAAAGGCTTATCAAATGTGATCACAGGTTAAGCCTTCAACACCTTAGCAACTCGTTGTTGTAAAAGAAACAAGTAGCAAGAATGGGTATGGGGTTAATCTGTTTTCATATAAAACATATAACATTAGTGCATATCGCATACAGTTTTATGTACTACGTGCTAATAATTTGATTTTTAAGTTAATTTGAAATGTCATATCAAAATATTAATTTTTCATTGGAATCTCTTGTAAATTTCTTGATAACGTTTGATTTAGGGATCAGTACTCAACTGCTTTTTGAAGTAGCATACAGTGACCATATATTTATATAGATACACACCACACATATAAATATATGCATATGTATGTTTTATATCATTGGTTTCTGATAGAACCAAGTTGTCGGACAACTTTTATTTATAGACATGAAACTTTATACAGATTAATGTATCCAAGCGTACTTACATTAATAAGAGTCCGCTTATCAATGCTAATTTTACATTGTTAGAACATTATGTTACAGGGAAGAGATTTCGTAAGTCTAAATATTGTTGCTAGCCTCGTGTGATGCAACTTACGATATGCTAGCTCTCGGAATTAGGGCATTGTTTTAATCCCTCTTACTCCTCTTTCTTATATTTATAACAGTAAATATTCGTTTCCAGTTAACGATGCGAGACTAAACTACTTATGTAGGACCCACCAGATGGCGACTGTTATTCTCGTGACTGATTAAATGCCACGTATTTCAAGGAATGCAATATTTTTACACTTAAAGTAATGAGGATTTTATCTTTATAATGCGGTAAGTACGACTTAAATACGTTTCGATTAGCTTTGATCTTTCGTCTTGTGTTATGGTGGCGATGACGACACGGTTATTTAACATACGTTTTTCAACATATTGAAGGTAATATTTCGGTTCTTTCATGACAATTAAACTATGAATTCAAACTATGTCACGGATGTTAAGGCTCTACGCTTAAATATATCTACATCTTATATCAGGCTTTCAAACTATGTCATGGATGTTAAGGCTCTACACTTAAATATATCTTCATCTTATATCAGGCTGATGCCGATCGTTTAGTTTCTTGTTGATAGCGATCTTTGCTAAAGAAAACCGAAACTTTGAATACGTCAGCAAAAGGGTTAAGTAATAAAAAATTCAAACGTACTTGTAAAAATGCTGTAGTCGCAACATTTTATTTTATTTTTCATTTTTTTCTGACGGGGTATACTTTTCAATTTGCAATAAAGTGTATCTCTAAGTAACGGTTTTTAACTTTCATATTACTGACTTGTATTAATACCATTCAGTACCGGTATTGCACCAGTGTTAAGTAATTTTTGTTTGTTTGTTATAACACGCATCGTAAATAACTTAGAAAATGAGTAAAACAAAAATCAATTAATATACTCATTTTCTATGTAAAATACACGGGAGACCACAGCAACAACTTGTGGAATTTATTGCAATATTTACAGAAGTTTTTTGTTACCCCGGCATATGTTTTTAGGATCCAGTAATTCATGTATCCATATACAATTTGGTGTACAAATAATTTAGAAAAGGCGCTTAAAAATCCGGTATGGACCAAAACTGGTAATTCTAAGAAGCTCCTGTTTTGTAGCTAGGACACTTCCATATACACCAAGAAAAACAATTTTATACTCTGAAGAGTAACGTTGGAAACATTCGATTTATATTTGTAAAATATATCATTCTATCATAGGGGTGATTTTTTAACTCGTCTGAAAGCAACTTTCAGATCAGAGTTCTTTAGAATCGACACTGTCTTATTAACGTATTACTGAGTGGTTCATTTGAAGGTGGTTTATCCCTTCTTACTGTTAAGTTTTCGTATGACTGGTAGTTTTCCTTTTTAATTATTAAACTTTTATTTCGAGAACTTCTGAGTGAAAGAATATAGAAGTGTTTTGTACTGTTGGCTTTTTATGTGGTCGTAGAACTAACTGAAATATCTTAAGCTGGCCATTCCTCGTGTGATATTATTAGGTTTACGGCCGAAAATGTTATGAACAGCGAGGATAAAACAACGCATTCTAATCTTTGTACGTAAGAATGCAAGAAAAGTATATTTAATTAGTTTTACTCATTACCAGATTGATTTTTACCGTTGATTTAATTAGGTAGCTGTGATCCCAGGTCCTTTAGGGGTCTTTAAGCATTCTTAAAAGGGTCGCGACAGAAAAAATGGAGTTTCCATATTGTATTCACAACAAGAACAAAAAAGAGGGAGGATACTGTGTTCAGTTAAATAATATATTTTTATTGATAATTTCATGCGCACTTAAAACCTATGTCAACGCTGTTTTAGGGTAAGCTTCTGCACATAGACCTTTCTGAGCATGGAGTTAACAAGACAGTCTTTGGTTCGTGTAGTAATCCGTGAGGGAGAAAAGGTTCAGAATCACTTCTCTAGATAATTAAAGATATATT